CTTCAGTCAGATTAATATCATTCTGCTTTCCATGTGGGACTCTGCTGTTCCATTCAAATATGATTATTGGGTTTAGTTTCTGTTTGTTTTTATAATCACACTATCATCTCAAAGAATTTTAAGAAAAACCCTCCCTATGGGAAATCTGCCTTTCACTTTGCAATATATGTGCCATTTATCAAAGGTCTGAGCCGTCAGGATTTTTGACCTCATGCTCCCTTTAGTTTCATAAAATGTAGTCTGGTTACTCTGCAGAAACAGCACCAAAACCTTACCACAAATGGACTTTTGCCCAGTTTGGATAGATAATTACATTTACTATTACAGGTACAGCTACAGTAATATTGCTGTCAATGCTTATTATAGATTCCCTCAGCACAATTTATTGCAAACTGAACAAAACACAAAACCAATTAAATAAAACATCTACCAGAAGAATACATTAGTGATCACTGGGCTCTACAAATGCTGAAACTGTATCCCAAAGAGTTATAGTTTTTAAATTAAACAAAGTATCTGTATATCAAATACAGAAAAATCTGGATCAGTTAAAGATTTTGTGTGTAGCAACTTCTGTAGATGTGCAATAAACCTTCCTTTCTGGTAAGATGCTGCTAAATATTTAAGTCTGGAAAAAAATGTGTGTATATTTATGTTTATTTTCCATAACTAAGACCTACATGTTTATGATGGATCATGACATCAACTTAGGACAAATAAGCACCTGCACGTACTTACTTAATATTTTGACTACAAGCAAAAAAAGGAAATTCTGTGACCATGAGAGTGCAGACTTGGAAGAAGCTGGTCCAAGTTCTGTTCACAACACTTGAGCAGTCTGCACACTGCATGAAGAGCAACCCATGAATCAAAATCAAAATATTTCTGCTTTGGCTTTGATTTTAATTTTTTTTTTTAAATCAGCAGGTATTAATGCAGAATGGGAATTCTCCAGGAGGCTCAAAAAGAACATAGTTTTGCAAAGAAAGTTGTTTGCCTAGCACAAAAAAAGCTCCTGGGATGATTATAAGGCCTCTTCTAAGGAAAAGCAGGGTTTTTAAAAGCTGTCATGAATTGATTATTTTTCCCCAAATCAGAAAGGGTTGCATATTTTTAGTAAATCTGAGAACATACATATTCAGTTTAACACAGAAAGAGCTATTGTTTTAGCACATTACCTGTATTTATTCCGATGCACACCCCCATGTTATTTATCAGTTACATAGATGTCAATTATTGGCCCTTCCCACAGTAAATGGTGTGCTGCACCACCCACCTGTCATGTCTTCAGTTTATGATATTTTAAGACTGGAAAGGAAATTAGTTCCATTTGCATGAGCCTTTGTTAGAAAGTAAGAGTGCACAACAGATTTCTGTGGGCAGAGGGGACAGAAAGCAGAAATACTAATTGCTAGAATTCACTAACCAAATACACTCTTGCTGTTACAAGTACTGGCTTTGTAAGACTTGCCTCACTAGTGATGGCTTTGACTATACACCCCACTGCCAAGAAAGGTCGGGGACAGACTCCTCGTTCATGGAATCTATAAATAATTACGAGAGTACAAAATAAAATAATGAGGACACAAAACAGGAAGCATTTTGCATACCTCCCCGTTCAGCTCTCTCTTGCCAAGGCAAGGAAGTGTAGCATGATCTTCCCAGTGATTCAAGCTCACTTTACAATCAGTGCAACCATATCCTCTGCTGTGCTACCAAAGCCACCATTTCTCTAATTCACAAAACTAACAGCATTACACAAGGATAATAAAGTACACATCAGACTTCTACAGTACAGAAAAGAAAGGGAAGGAGACAGGATCCATTTAATTTATAGCCTCCCTAGTTTCTTTCAAGACATCTCATGCAACCAAAAATCTCATGCTTCTATTATTGCAGCACAGGAGGATTTACACGACGCAAATTATTTTTTCAAAGCTCCATATGCACATCAACCTAAGCTCAATCCCTTCCAAATTTATTTATTTGCCCTTGATCCATACACATGAGCACTCCATGGCAGCACTTTCAATGAACTATTCATGCAGGTGAACACGCCTTGGAGAAGCAGCTGCCCCCTCTGCTTTTATGGTTATTTGTCTCTTCATCACGGAGCTCAAAGGAATAATCCTACTGCATATTTCTTCTTCATTTATTTTACTAGGTGAGGTGTTTAAGAGGATATATGGTCATCTGGAGCTCATCACTGTCAAATTTTCAGCCACACAGCTGTAAAGGGTAAAGGAACTAGTTTAGCTCCTTGGTTTACAAAGTGCTGAGTACCTCCAATGAGGTGCCAAACGTGCGTGGTGACACTTTAAGATTGCTGAGTGCCTCCTGAGGTTCACAGGACCTGATCCAAAGCCCCAGTGTTAGGAATGACAGCCCTCCCCTTGACTGCAATGTGCCTGGGACAGAACAGCGCTCCATGGCTCACGCCTGCGCTTCCAAGGCAAGGAGAGACCATGGATTTAAGAACACAGGATAAGGTGCCAGGTTTGAGAAGCACTGGATCTTAGCATTCCTACCTCCAAACACTTAACCCGGGGTAATACAAATAAAAATATACATATCTACTTAAACAAACAGAAATTCGAGACTACCTTAAATATGTTTGGGATCAGGTGCTGATTTTCAATTGTTTTAATCTCACAAACAAACATGCCCATCCTGCTTCCTTTGGGCTTACAAGAAAAGAATGGGAAAAAAAAGCTGACAGTCATACTGTAAAACATCCAGTGCAAAGACTGGCTGCTTTCATTTGGGTTAAGACAGCAAAAAGTCTTTCATTACCAGGTCACTTGTTCAAATACAGTCCCCCTTGACAGTAATCACTTGATGGCAGGCAGAGTAAGCAACATTATTTCTAAGTAACTCTGCAAAAGTATTTTTTATTAAGTGCATAAATACTGTAGAAAAAGTCCGCAGGCATTCATGATTAGTGCATTATCCTGCAATACTCAATTAGTAGAGAGCAACTAAGCAAACAAAAAACGAACTACGCTGCAGCAAAGACTGTAACTACTTTCATTTGTTCTGACAGTTGCCATTTATCTTTGCTTTTGAAGAGACTACGTGGTAGTATTCTAGTAAGTGAGCTGTAGCATACTGTGAAAAAATAATAACATTTTAGCAATACAAGCCCTCGCTGCAGCATCTGTTATTAAATCTTTGCAGAGGCGAGGAGAGACTGCTAGTCATAACTGTGGATTAGCAAGGTTCTACTATATTCATTTTAGAGTGCAGAGCGCTTTGCATGAAAGCTGTTACTTGCCTTTTATGTCAAAAAATGAACTTATGCCAACTTTTTAATACTGAATTCTTCAAAGCAGTAGTTCTAAAAGTCTGCAAGCACTGTCCGCAAAAAAAAGCAGTCTAATAGCAGAGAAATGGAGGAAGGGCAGCACTAGAATAGCTGATGCTGCTGATTTGCAACTCTCTCTTTTCACAGAAAATGACCATCATCTTGCACTTCCTTCCCGAGTAAATCAAAAACTGCCTTTGAAAGTGTCAAGCTTTATGATGCTGACTTCAACTCTGACACCTGATTATACAAGAGCGTTAACATAAGCGCTCAGCATGCTCCAGGGAATCACTGCATCCTCATCACTGGAGCCTTAGCAGCTCCACATCCTGGCTGACTCGCTAGCAAAACAGGCAAAAAACAGGACTTGAGGTCCTAGAGAAAGGATGATAATTCACATACTTATGAGAAGTACAACACACGCACTCTGAACTGAGCCAAGTTTAAGTAAACTTTATGCTAAATTCACAAAGTTCAAGCAGAGTCGGAGCTTAGCTGAACTGTAGTGAAAACACTCAGGAGCTTTCCAGAAACACTAAAATCCTTCAGGACAAAGTTGATCTTGAGCCTTCATAACCATATTTTCCTGACTAATAAGTTACACAGACGGTGCAAGGTGCTGTGTAATATTTACCCATGACGACCGCTGTTATGATATACTGTTTCAGTGAAGGATAAATCAGACGCATCAAATCCCTAAAACTACCCGTGCGAATACACACCCATTAATGGATCAATACATAAAGAAATGAAGACTAGCTGAAATTGAAAATGTGTTAAAAAATTACTAGGGGCGCTCACAGTGAGAATTGCCGTCTAAATTAGATAAGTAATAAAGGCAAGACGTACTTTTAACTGCGAAAAGTTGTGAACACTGACGCTCTAATGCAATTTCACTAGTTCCAGCGCGTGATTTTTATCCACCGATGTGGCTGTAAAAGCCCCCTCGGAGAGCTGCTGCTATTCTGGAGCTTTGCGGGACGCTCCTCCGCCCCCGCGGCGCTCGGCGGGGCCGCACCGCTCACCCGCCCCTGCCGCTTACATCCACCTCAAACCCGGAGCTGCGTTTTATTTCATTTTCGGTTTGTTTCGGGTTTTTCTTTCCCCGGCGCTTGCGAAGACAGAGCGCGGCGCGGGGGAGATTACACGGGGATGACTGAATCGCGGTGAATCGATTAAGCCTCGACAATTTAATCTGGGACTTCATGCGGGGCCGGAGGAGATAATCCCCGCGCCGCAGTTCGCCCCTGCCCCTCCTTTACCCAGAGACCCTGCCACAGCCCCGGGGGCACTCCGACCGCACACGGACACCGCTTCGCCTCTCCGGGGCCAAGCCGCCCTCCTCGTCCTCGTCCTCGTCCTCCTCCTCGCAGTGCGGTGCACATCGCGCACCCGGCCCCTGTGCGAGATGCGCGCTCGCAAACTTTCCAAACTTCTGGGGAAGTGGCGGGGGATGCGCGGGGCCGGCCCGACCACGGCGGCGCTTCGCCTCCCGGCGGCACCTCACCGGCCGCAGCCCCCCGAGCGCTGCCCGCGGGATCCCCCCGCCCCGGGCCGGGCAGCGGGCGGCAGGAGCACCGGCGCCCCTGTCGCACCGAGCCCGGCGGAGCGCGGGCTGCGCACCGCAAGTTCGGGAACCAAAGGAACGGCAAGGGCAGGGACCCCACACCCCGCCCGCGCTGCCCCTCGCACTCACGCTGCTGTTCTCGCCCGTCCAGTGCACCATCGCCTGGTTGTGAGACGCGTCCCCTTTCAGCACGAAGGAGGTGCTGATGAGGGAGACCTGCTCCCGGCCGGCCGCCGAGGATGCTCTCCTGGAGCGGCCGCTCCCCGCCGCCTCCCCGCTGCCCGGCCGCGGCTCGGGCGGGCTGCGCGCCCCGCGGGTCAGAGCTGCGGGACGCGGGCGGCCGCAGGGTTCCGCGCAGCGCGGCGCGGCGGCGGCGCCCAGCAGCGGCGGCAGCAGCAGCAGCAGCAGCAGCAGCAGCGGCGGCGGCAGCCGGGCAGCCCCGCGCGGAGCGGCGGCGGCGGACACGCGTGGCCCGCCGTGCGCCATGGTGGCTCTCCGGCGTGGTAGTGACAGGCGGGGAGGTGGCGGGGAGGGAGGGAGACACCGCGGCGGAGGGCGGGGGCGGGGGAGGGCTGTAACCGGAGCGGGGCTCGGCGGCAGCGCCGTGCGCGGGGCTGCGCGCCCAGCCGGGGCGGCGCCGCCATCTGCTGGTCCGCGCCGAAACGCCGGGCGGGCTCGGCACACACGGACACGGACACGGGCATCGCGCCCCGCGGGAGCCGCGGTGGGGACGGGTCTCCCGGCGGCGGCAGGACCCGGCGCTTGCGAAGTTTCACGCAGAGCTCCGGTGAGAGGCTTTCGAGAGCGCCCGAACGAGAGTCTCGCAGCCCCTCGGGGCGAGTGCGCTGCAGGGCGAGCACTCCCCGCTGCCCCTTTGGACACGGGCGATGGCCCTGGTTTGGCCGTCCCTCCCAGGAGGCTGCAGTGAAAAGATCGGAAGGGGTCTGTGGTCAGCAGCGGGGAACCGAGGAACAAATGAAGCAGGTGCAAAAATATGATTCATGTGATTAAGACAAAAAGCGCTTCCGCGGGGAAAAGCACCCTATCTGTTCTTCTGCCCCTCAGCTCCTGGGAGGCACCAGGCTCGTCACATGCGTTGTCCGGAGCCAGTTGCTAATCCAGTGTTGCCCACCGTGGGGACATGTGGCTTGTAATTAGGGACTGATCCATAGCACCATCAGGAAATGCTCACGGCAGAGGGGCAATGACTGGGGCTGTGCAGTGTAACTCAAAACTGACAGGTGAAGCAGTGGAAGAAGATTTAGGCATCATAGACTGGGTGCTCTTCCTGCTTCACTGCAGCGCGCCGTGTAACTGTGAATAAATTGGGACTTGTGAAGCAGTTTGCCTCATATGTGAAGAGGGCACAAGTTGGAATCTCAGAGTAACTCAGGTTGGCAGGGACCTCTGGAGGACTCCTGGTCCAACCTGCTGCACAGTCCAGGGCCAACTCCAAAACTGAATCTAACTTCACAGTAAAATAAAGTTGCTCAGACCTAAGTGTCAGAAAAACAAGTTTGAAAGACAGCTGAGGAAAGTACTGACTCCAGGTACAGGCACCTAACAGAAGAGATCCGGGCTGGGTAAAACCAAGGTGAGTAAAGTTAATAAACCAGCTTTAGTTGTAATCTGCCTTTACCCTAATGGCCTAGAAAATTAGGATTACAAAGGCTTTTCTAGGAAGATTAATAGAAAAAATAGTATCCACTGGTTTAACTGTACCATTACAGGCCTGGGATGACTACCACAATGACCTAAAGTGACCTGGTCATCCCAAAGTAATGTAAAAATTACTTTCAGCAAGCTATATGATTACATATTAGCTGTACACTTTCAGTGCTGGGAGACCTATGGTAACCTGTCCTGTTATTACTGTAATGGCTCAAACTAGAAGGTAGTTTCAAATTCAGAATTACTCTCCATTTCAAAAGAAATACAGAATAGAAGTTAAAATATTTTTTTTTAAATCCTGTGTGCTTTTTCTGCAGCTCCCAATAAAGTCTTCTTTCATAGTTTCTAGCACAGCCCCACAGTCTCAAAACAGCTAAAAGAACTAAAAGAAGAAATTGCCCCTTCTCTGCCAATCTCCAGCTGCCACTTTTGGAGATTCTGCCCCAAATACTGTGCCAGCAGGAGCTTGGGCAGCAGCAGGAACTTGGGTGGGAAGCACCACGTGGCCCAGGTCATCAGAAGTTGCCCCTGGGACTCTTGAAGGGGTGATGTATTGAATTCATTCCTGAAGGTATATCTTGTGTAAAGAGCAAGTTGATTAATTTTTTTTCTCAGATCTTGATTTCTGAAGACAATACCAAAAGCTCAGAAGGCCTAGGAGAAGCTATAGAGAGCTGTCTAAAGGAACTGAAACAAGAGCGTGAGACAAGACTGATCTTTGCATCCATTTAGCTTTGTTACAGTGTCTTATCTCTCTGAAACAATACCCTTGTAAGAGGAAAACCACCTGGGTTTAAGTGGGCAGAAAGTTAGTTTTCTAAAGAAACCCCTTATGACTCTTGTAAACTGGTCTCAATGACAGCTGGTGGTCAAACGTTTGTTTGAATCCCTGCTGTTTGGGTGTGTTCTTTAGGGATGCAGAAGCTGGGCAGTGATTCAACAGTTCACAGAAGACACACAGGCAGAGAGTCATTCCTGTTGGAGTAACAGTTGCATATTAAGCAAATTACTTTCCATCTTTGACATCTCTGCACAAAAAGGAACAAGAGAAAAAAATGCAATGCTGAATTGTTAAGAAAACATAGATCAACCACAATTGTATCAACCAACATGAAGGGGTGATTTGCCTATTACTAGGAATTCAGTAATTTTGATTCTGACATTATGGCCTATCTCTTGTGAAATTGTGAAGATTACCCAACATTTGTAGAATAACCTAGAAATACTCAGAACAGGTGGAAGAGCCTGTGTCTCTACATGTTAAAACTGGCATACAAACCCTAATACTTCATCTGACTGAATACAGCTGGACTTTGTTGTGCTCATTCATTTTGCATTCACCACTGTGCTCGACAGGTGGGGCTCCCAGTGAGCAGCAGCCAAGAGAAGAGATGGTAACATCCACATTCCTAAGTCAAGCTCTCTGTACCTGTCAGTTACTGATATTTCCCATAATGAGACCTAAAAGGAAAAAAAAACCCGAGAAGTTGTCCCAGAACTAATGAAGCCTGCATTCCTCCAGCCTTGCACCTTATGCTCAACAGCAAGGTCTGCTTGAGTCTTTCCCCACTGTCAAAATGTCTTTTCCATGATCTCCACAGGAACCTAGCAAATCCACTAATAAAGTCCTCCTTTATCACAAAACTTGACATTTATTTTTGTGACATCCCTAGTTTGCCAATTTAGTTGAAATTTTCTTATGGGTTCAGAAGTTGCAAATCTTGTTTAACTGGAACTTCTTAAGGGTTGGCAAAATGATGGTTTAGATTTAGTTTAATGATTTCTAAAGTAAAGAGGCTTCCCTAAATGTCTGTCACCTTTTATATCTCCTATAAACTCTGGCTCAGCAAATACACAGAGGCAAATAAAAAGACAAATAACTGAGTACTACACACCTCTAACCTCCTCTAGTCCCAGAATAGAAATAGAAATAGAAATAGAAAAGGTTGGGAAAAAATAGTGTTGTAAATTCAAGGCAAGTTTCTTCCTGTTAATGGCAGAATTATTAGTGCTATACTAATAAACATCTACTCGCATTTTTACTGACTGTCAGATTATATTAAGATTTATAAGGCTTCAATTAACCCACTTTATTTTTACTAGATTAATTTCTAATCAAAAACTGAAAGTATTAGAGAAAGCTTCAAGTTCTGCTTGGGCAGAAACCAAGATGCCATGCTAATATTTCTTTTTGCTTGCAATTAAAAATATTGATAACAATTTATTCTATGTTTCATCCTCATAGCCTTCTGAGGTTGATAATGCAAGAATACTGCAGATACACAATAAGGTAGAAAATCACCGAAGAATTACCCATTTAAGCATGCTTCTTGTACAGTGTTCACCTCTTTTAAAGGTTGATTTAAGTTAATGTATCAAGATGCATTTAGGATACCTTATTCCATTAATTAGATACAAAACAATTTCCAGTTACATTGTGTTTATGTTAACAACATCATTAAGAGCACAGTGACCTGCAGGGTTTTTGACAAAATGCTCATGCATGAAAGCAACTTAATCTCACACGATTCCTATCAAAATGCCTGACTCCAAAACAGCCCTATTACTCACTGTGACCACATTCTAAGCTAACAAATTAATACATGCCAAAGCTTTATTGCCTTGTTACCCAATTAACAATGCTCAAATGCTTTATTTGTGTTAAATGCAAATTATTATAAATAATGCCATACCCTTATGCCAAACAGCAGAGGTTTTATTTGGCTAGGCCTCTCAAAATAATTTCTATTTGTATTACTACAACTACCAAAAAAACCTTTCTATATTCAACAAATCTATGTGTCTTAACAGTTTTCTCAATAGTTGTTCCATTTGAGAGAACAAAAAAATCAAGCAGGTGTCAGATTGTTTTGTTCACATTAATTCATTGATACATTGCTGTCACCAGTCAACCCAGATGCCCACAGAAGAAAGCCTGATTAATAGGAAGCATTCCTTGTCACTAGAAAAACAAAACTCTACTTCTGTGGGCAGTTCTGAAGTCAAAAAAGTAAGTAGCTGCCTTTGTTTTATGAAGAACTGACAAAGCTACAAAGTACATGTTCAATTATCCTGTTCAAATTTGAACAATATAAAAGAGTGGATTTCAGTGTAGTGTATTGTCTCTGATGATTACAAGGAGTTCTCTTCAGGTATGGGTGTACTGACATACACTTACGAGAAAAAATTTGGAAGAGCTGTAAATGATTTGAGGAAAAGCTGAAGAGCTTCCTATTTTACCAGGATCCAGTTAGCAAATGGCATATTTGCAGTAAAAACTGACACAACCACACACTAGGCCAGCAGCCCAAAAACAGGGATTCACTGAGGTTGTCTAGAAACCTCATTCTTTGAGCATCATCAGCTCTCCTCTAATTCAATTACATAACTGAGCTGCTCAGCACCTTGCAGGACTTTTACTAGTGAGTAAGTGAATATACACTATAATTTTCTCTAGTTCTAGCTCATAAAATTAAAGAGGAAAAAAGTTGTAAAATTACTGTCACTTAGCAAACAAGCTGGCAATAAATACAAGCTGCCTTAAGCCCCTGAAGTTTTATCTTCCATCAATCAGAAGAACAAAAAAATGCAACTAACCTGTATACATTTGTTTTGTCACAAAGCCTGAAACAGGGCTTAGTCTGAAACAGAAAATGTAATGTGAAGCGTAATGTTTTGGTGGCTAAGATTACCTGTCTTCAACCTTCATCATTTCTCATCAGCAATTAATGAGCAGAGTTCTGAAAACATGAGAGAATTGGATTCATTGTCTACAAGAGCTCACAACAGAACAAAAGGTTTTTCTTTTATGAGACCAACTAGACTGTGGGAACTTGTTTTTCACAGAATAGCTTTGCACTTGTGTTTTTTCTGCCCTAAAATTCAATGAAGTTTATTTGAGAAAATATGGAAAGTTGAGAAAGATTTTGGTATTTAGGTAATTAAAATGGGATGTGAGGGATATAATTCTCAG